TTATTGGTGAGAACTGGGATGAAGTATTTATCTAGTGTGCAAGATGTCAAGAATGCCCAAACTTGGTCATTTGCTCATAGTACTACAATGTTAGTAATTAACACCCTCCCATATTAACACTACTGCCACTATTTAAAAAATCATCAAAATAGCAAAACACTGACAGAATCAGTAATATTGTTGAGGCAAGTAACACAGGTGGCTGAGGCAGAAAGAAAAACCAGGAACCTTACTACAGTTTCCATGGCGACATTCTGTAGTGTGGGTATTTCATCATCAGTTTTATGTCTTATACTGAATGTGTTGTTAGATGATGTCTTTGGTTAACACACAAGGTTTGGTATGTCAAATGTTCAGCATTTAAGATCCTGTATCAAGGGGCCTGCAGAGATGGCACAGCTATTAAAAGCCTGTACAGCTCTTGCAGATGACTGGAGTTTGGTTTCCAGCACCTAGTTCTGGCAGCTCCCTGTCACCTGTAACTGTAGCCCAGTGGATCCAATGCCTTCTTCTTGCCTCTCAGGCGCTGCAGGCACCATATACATCTCTCCTGCTTCCCCGCTTAGTTTAAAATCAATGAATCTTGGAGAAACATTGTGTAGAAATATTTGTGCTAAATTTCAAGTTCTTTTTCACTTCATGAAGGGAGTTTCATGTCATATGCAATAATTTCAAAGAGCATGGATTTGGTATTGTTACCTCACCCAGTACAACTCACCATCTTGGGCACCTATCACTCCATCTAGTCACAGAGAAGTTTATCATCACGAGAAAATTCCACCCCTTTAGCATCACTACACTGCTCTCTCCTGGCCTCAGGCTGCCACTGGTCTGTTTCCTGTGTTCATGGATGGACCTATTCTGGAAAGTTCATAGAAATAGAAACAAATGCTATGTCTTTGTGTGTGCTTTGTTTTTCAAAAAATATATTTTATTCAAGTGTGCGTGCACAGAGGTCAGAGATTGACACTGGGTGTCTTCCTTGATCGCTCTGGTGTTTTTCATTAATACATTTTGTTCTTTGACAATTTCATACATGTCTCTGGTGTATTCTGGTTACTCGCACAACTGCTAACTCTTATGTCCCTCCAAGCCCTGGTGGTACCTACTCCTTCCTTACAAATCGCTTTCTTGTAAGCATTGGTTTTCGGTTTGTTTAGTGTACCATAGAGTTTAACCAGAGCTACCTGTGTGACCCTGAGTTTGGAACTAACCATCAGAACCTAGTGGGCTTACAAGTAGGACAGCCCTGGATACTATCCTTCCCTCTCTCCTGGACTCTGTTAGTTTCTAGTAGCTCAGTTGTAGGTGGTGGGGTCCTATGAGCTCCTCCTCCCTCCAGTAGGCAAAGACACTGAGTTCATAATTGTCACAACTGTGACATTCTTAGTCTTCCTATCTCAACCTCCCTAGTACAGCCACTTCTGTGTGACCCTCTTCCTGGAGAGATGTAGAATAAATGTCTACCCACCCCAGAGAGGGAACTGGCTGCAGACCAGAGTAACAACACCATCCAAGTCTGACGGGTGGACCAACATGTTTACTGGAGGATGAGTATGGGTGAGCATGGGTGACTCATGAAAACTGCTCTACATGACTTGCAGGCAGGGACTCTCCTTTTCTCAAAGTTCTTTACTGCTCATATAAAGAAGGAGCCTTGTGAATCTACTAAGTTTCAGGTACTTCTCAAGACTTTTGAATTGTTTATTTCTTTATTGTTATTGAGCCTCCTTTCAGAACTTCCTTAATCATTAAGATCATTTCTCTAGCCGGGCGGTGGTGGCGCACGTCTTTAATCCCAGCACTCGGGAGGCAGAGGCAGGCGGATCTCTGTGAGTTCGAGACCAGCCTGGTCTACAAGAGCTAGTTCCAGGACAGGCTCCAAAACCACAGAGAAACCCTGTCTCGAAAAACCAAAAAAAAAAAAAAAAAAAAGATCATTTCTCTAGGATATGTTGTTTTAACTAAGGGGAAATGTGTGTGTGTGTGTGTGTGTGTGTGTGTGTGTGTGTAAGCCCAAGATGGATGTTGGAAATCATCCTCCAATTGTTCTTCCACCTTATTTATTGAGGCGGGGGTCTCTCTGTAAAACCAAGAGTTCATCGATATGACGAGATATGATGAGACTCCTTAGCTCACTTACTCTGGAGATTCTCCTACTTTTACTTTCTAAGGCTGGATTTATAGAAAGGCTGCCATGCCCACCTGGGAATTATACCTGGTTGGCAAGTGATTTAATTACCACAGCTACTGTTTTAGATTTTGCAATTTCTTCTTAGATTTTGGATTAAAGGTGTGAGTCTAATCTAAACACAAAGTTCAATCATGCTGCATACACATCTGATAGACATTATCTGGAAGCCATTTTATACCTGATTTTTCTTTTGTTTAGAGGAAAGTTCATACTTGTAGCCCAGGCTGGCCTCGTATTTGCAATCTTCCTGCTTCAGACTCCTAAATACAGGCAGTGTAGGTGTGTGACGTCATGCTCAATCTACAGTAATCTCAGTGCTTTTGAGTTTTTGCTGTGGACTGTCACATATAGCCAGGTGTGGAATCTCAGTCTGTGGTATCAGGTAGGTTATGTAAGGTTTGGATACGGGGGAATTTTGGATTTGAGCTGCAGTCTCATTCCATTCTAAGGTTTTGAGTTATACTGGGTTATTGAATCTCCTGAGATCCTCTTGACTCTGACAATTTCTGAGACTTTCCTTGTTGATAGCTCCACTGATTAAGCCTTAAGAACAGGACCACACACAAAATTACAGTATTGGGTGCATGCTGATAACGTCAGCACAACTTTGATTTGGTATCAGGATGTTCTAAGTAGGTCGAGGTGAGAAACACCCTGGTTAGCAAATGTGTTCAAGGACCAGAGCCAGGCTTGCAAGCACAAAGACTGAAACTAGGGAGCCACTTTCGGCTGTGCCACCTGGGGGAAGTTACCAAACTTCTCTGAGTCTCTGTCTCCATGTGTGCCAACAGAGTTGTGAAAATGACATATAAAGAAGGAGAGATAGAAACAGATCACAGGCAGAGAGCAAAGCAGGGGGAATGGGGAGGAGGCAGAAACAGCTTAGAAGTGTGGCCTGCTGGTCCTACCTACATCTAGGGCAAGTATTCATTTAACCTAAATCATACCTGAGCACCACTTGCAGGTTATTTAAGTAAACCAATGTCTGGGTCCCATTCAAGGGGTGTGATTCGATTGTTCTGAAGTTTAAACAAGAGTCAGACGTTTTGTGAAATACATGTTGGTAGGCAATGTCTTCTGAACAGAGCAAGACTTGAACTCATGAGCAGCTACTCTGGTTGTCTGCACAAGATCTAGCCAATGAGAAGTGTAGTACAGAGCCAGGAGCTCACAAGCCCCAACCCACAGTTGAGGAGTTGTTGATAGCTGGTGGTTGTTTGGGGAGGGAAAGTCAGTTTTCTTGAGCAGTGTGGTCTGGCCATGCTCCAGTGAATGGCCACACACACATCCATATGGAAACAGAACTAGTGGGACTCAATGGGCCAAAAAATAAGGATATCAAGCAGTAGAGGGGTATGGTGGTGAAGATCTGGGAAGAGTTGGAAGGCGGATATGGTCAAAATAAATTATGTACAGATATGAGATTCTCAAAAAATAAATAAAAAGTATTTTAAAATGGTAATTTTAAAGTTCTATCTATTTTTCTGTAAATTTGACAGTTTTATTCTTTACAGGTGAGTACAATTCCATTATGTGCTTTTACTGAAGTATTTTTATCTGTTCAGGGGTTGATGGACAGATCCCACACTGTGGTGAGTAGCGTAGTCACATACATGATGTGTGGATCTCTGGATTAGAATCCTCTATGTCTACTCTCAAGCATGATCTAGTTGTGTCGTATGATATTTCTATTTTTAGTTCTTCAGGAACCTCTATAGGAAAGCTCACAGAAGCGGCACCATTTTACACTTTCACTAACAGAGTATAAAGGTTCCCTTACTCCTTTTTCTCGCCAGAATCTCTTTCTGGTTTTATTGGTGATAGCCACACTGACTCAGGAGAGATGGAATCCCAGTGCAGTTTTTGTTTTGGTATCAGAATTTTAAAAAGTTTTTCTGGTGTTTGGAGGTTACAGCTAAAATATTGAGAACCACCTTGTTTAGCAAGTGTGTTCAAGGATTAGGGCCAGGGCTGTGTATAAAGATTGGAGTTGGGGGACAGTTCCCTGGCTGTCCAGTTTTCTGCGTACTTGTCACTTTGTCTGCAGACTGGGGTGGTAATGTCTATTTTGTAGGGCTATGCAAATGGAATATAGTTAAAGGAATCTGTCTGATTCACAAGGTTGCCACCAATAATTGCCCAAAATAACAATAAAGAGCACAGATACGACAATAATAATAATAGTGATAATAATTATTAATAATAATAGTATGTGTGCATGTGGATGTCGGTGAGTTTGCTATAGAACATGTTTGGAGGTCAGGGACAACTTCTTATGCTGTTTCTCTCCTTCACCTTTATGTAAATCCCAAAGATGGAACTCAAGTCACCAGCCTAGTACAACAAGCGGTAGGCCATCTCGCTGGAGTCCACCTTATTGACTTTTATTCTCTCGCTGGGCTCTGTGCACAATTATAAAGAACCTCAGTTCTCAGAAGAACCAATATGCTCGAAGCAACCAAATCAGTGTCATCTGAGAGGAAAATGTAACTCCACGTTGTCTCGTGTACTGTGCTAATAGCAAGAGATATTATTAATTACAATAGTAACAGCAATTATGAAAGGTTCCGGTTTGCACTGAGGTTCACACAGCAGAGAGCGTTTCCAGGCTCTCGCGCTTTGCTTTGCTCAGCTGTAATTTTCTCTCAGGTCAGGCTCAGAGAGGGAGAGGGGCTGGCCCAAAGGGACACAGCAGTGAAATGGCCTAAGCCAGGAGGGTGGATCGGAGGGAGAAGCTGGCCAGCGAACCCACGTGCTGGTGGTGGTCACCCGACGCTGGCGTTCTCCCCTCCCCCTGCCTCAGACCCACGCTGAGAATGTGGGTTCCCGCCTAGCGGTAACAACGCCTGGTACCCTGTGCATCCCTAGGGGACCTACTGGCCTCCGAGGACTCGGGAGGGGCAGGGGGCGGGCTCGGAGGCGCGGCTCAGCGCAGGGGCGGAGGCTGTGCGCGAGAGGCCGGTCACCCCGCCCGCCTCGCGTCCCCCAGCTCCTGTGCGGCTGCGGCAGGGGGACATCCCTGAGGGGGTCCCGCCCCCCGCCCCAGCCCCTCGCCCCCCGCTTCCACGTGAGCGTCAGATCAGCCCGCATCCCTCTGGTTGCCCAGCCAGTACCGGCTCTGTGCCGGTGCCTTGGTAGTCCTGTCCCCAACGCAGATTCAGCGCGGGTCACTGGCGGGTCCCAGCGGACCCGGCCTGCGCTTCCAAGGGTTCTGGCTTCTGCATCCGGGCGCAGCGACGAGGCGCGGGCAAGGCGGCCCCGCTGACCCGAGGCTGGTGAGTGGAGCATTTGCTTCTGATTGGGGATGGTTCTGGGTCCGAGGCAGGTGGGGATCCCCTGTGCACAGGTCTCCACTTACTACTACCTTTCCTTAGCTCTCCCCTGTTCCTTTACAGGTGCGTCACCCTGGTGAGTTTCCTGTCACTAGATCCCTGGTCTCCTTCCCATCTCCCATACCCCCCATTAGTAACCTCAACTCTTAGATAGTCCTGTTTTCAACATTGAATATGACTCCTCTTCTATTTCTTGGGCTGAAATCCCTCTTCCCTGCCACAGGTTCATAACACAACCCCAACCATATCTACTGTGGTTAAAACTGGCCCTATTCCACAGACACTGAGTATGAAGGTTGAGTTTTTGGTGGAATTGCTTTTCTAAAGAGGTGTGTGTAGCTACGTGTTTGACTTTTGAGGGTTCTGTGCTCTCAAGTGGTGTGCTTGTGTGCCTAAGCATGGTGTGGATGTCACTATCCATGTAGTTTCATTTGCATGGGGTACTTGTGCAGGAGACTCTAAGTGTGTGGCTTGTGTTTCATGGTGTGCATGGCAGTGGCCAGTGTGTGTGTGTGTGTGTGTGTGTGTGTGTGTGTGTGTGTGTCGTGTGTGTGTGTGTGTGTGTGTGTGTGTGTGTAGACTTTGTATGGCTGATGCTGACTGCATGGGTTTGCATTTCTGAGTCTGTGAGTGGTTATGTGTCTGCTGGTGTGCATGAATGTAGCAGATGTTTGTGTTGAATTCACACACAATGTGAAGGAATTTTGTGTCTGGTGTTGCAAAATGGATTTGCATTTCTGAAGGGTGTGTGTGGTTGTTTGTCTGAAGAGTCTTTGAGGGACTGTGTGTCCATAAAGGATTAGGTGGGTGTCAATGGAACACAAGATGTGAGGCTGTATATAAGTATGTATGAGTGTGATGAACTAATTTCTATCCTGCCTTTCTCTCCTGTCACTCACTACTCCCCTAGCACAGCACTGATAAAGATATAGCCCACCATTGTTTGTGTAAGAGGAGACCTTGGAGATGGCTTAGTTATAAGTCTGAGAATGGAGGGAGGAATGAAAAAACTCACAACTTTAGGGCTGGAAAGCAGGCTCAGTGGTAAAGAGCACTCTCTGCTCTTGCAGAGGTTCCTGGTTTGATTGCCAGTTGCAGTGGCTCCAACATCCTCTTCTGGTCTCCACAAGCACCAGGCATGTTAGATACAGGTCGAACACTCGCATACATAAGATAAAAATAAACTAATCTTTTTACACACACACACCTGCACAGCTTCAGGCTACATCAACAAAGAAAAAGAAAACATGAAAAATATAAACAAACAAACAAATCTTTTCTGCGTATTACTTTGCTAAGACTGAAGTTACCCCACAAGGCTGCATCACATCACATTGTGATTTGGTTAAGAAGTACCAACAACTCTGTCTCTCTCCTTCCCCCTTCCTCTCCTCCCTCTCTGTCTATTAGAAGATAAGAACTCCCTGTGTAGCTCAGGCTAGCCTGAAACTTGCCTTTCTGCTGCTGTTTTCAAGTCTTGAGACTATAGCCATGCATCACCATGCGAGGCTCACAAAAATCTGATTTTGAATGAACCTTCTATTTCAGAACAATGACTGTTTTGTGGAGTTGGTGCCATTGCACATCTATAGCTAATGTATGGTCAGTGTAAGAAATATACAGGTCTTCTCCCTCAGGGTTTATTCTAACACACCATGAACCCTTTAGATCCTTTGAGGTCTTTCCCCCCCATTGCTTTCTGGTCATGCTTCAGGTGGCTCTTAGCTTTGGGTATCATCTGTATAGTGAGACAAGCACTTCTACTTTCAAAGACCTCTAGGCCTTGAAAGTTTGAGGTCTAGGGGTCAGAAGGTCCTTCTTTTCTTCCCTTTATCTCCAAGTGGTGGCTGGCATGGCTCATTACACTCAAGAGTTGAGGGGAAAGGGATTAGACCCATCCTTTAACCCTTTACCTTGCAGGTGTTGGAGATCCTAGAAAAGCCATTTCCAGAATAGGTAGCTTAAGAGAACCAAAAGAAACCAGAGCAACTCCCTGGATGAGACGTACCCAACAGCTCCAAGGGACCAAGAGAGCCAGGAAGTCCCAGGTGGAGGTTACTTTCAAGTATTACAAAATGTTGTTTTAAAACATTTACTACATTTTAATAAGCATACAAAGAATTCATTCTCATTATAGCATTCCCCCCAAAAGATTGGTGAGGTTAATTTTATAAGCTAAGCACACAAAGTCAAATGCCGTGTGATCTCATTCCCATGCAAGCTACAAATCTTGACCTTGAACAAACAGGCAGAAGAATAGTGATTATGAGAGGGGAGACACAGAAGGGGAGGGTGATGATATTGTTCAACAGTTTATTCTTTTATAAAGGATTAGAAAACAGGAGTTTGAATGCTCCTGGCCAATGGGAATGAAACTGCTAAAGAACTTGATCTGGCCTCATGCATTGCCTTTATGTTCTGAAAGGTTTCACTGTGCCCTGTGAGTGGGAGCAGTTATCACATGTCCACGGAGATAAAAAGGAAGAATCAACATAGTGGCACATCACAACTGTGTGAGTTTATAGTGATCAAGGCGGGCGTGGTGAGGGTGTTGAAGACAGCCTTGCATTTTAGCCCAAGTCTGTATCTTTTGGACTTCTGCTTATTTGTTGAATTGTTTTTAACGGTTAATTACCACCTGCTGGCTTTTCCCACCATCCACTGCTGGGATGGAACTTGGGGCCTCATGTGCAATTGATGAACTCTACGTTTCTGAGCTGTGTCCTCAGTACTCCAGCATTCATATATGATTTTACTAGGCTAAAGTCAGCCTTTAAAATTATTACATTTATTCAGTGTGTGTGTGCACGCGCATGCACCCTCGAGCATGCACAAGGCAGTCAGAGGACAACTTGTGGGAGTTGGTTCTCTCCTTTCTTCATGTGGGTCCAAGACTGAATTGAGGCCATCCAGCTTGGCAACAATCCTCTTTACCCAACAAGCCATCTTGTCCTCTCTGCCCCCACGTTTGTAAAGTCATAGCCACTTTGGTAAACAGTTTGTTTTCTGATCTCTATTTCAGCAACTCACCGTTGCCACTGTAGCACAAAAGTACCTGCCGAAACACACAATGAATGAATGTAGCTGTGTGCCAATACCATGATTAAAAAATGCTAACAACACAGATATTAAAAGATTTGACTCACAGACTATCACATGTCAACTCCCACACTAGCTAGTTGTTTTTAGGTTTTGTCAGAGAATTTGTTCCAGGCACACCCTCCATCCTGGATAGACTCCAAAACCTTTGTATTCCAAAGTCTTCCACATAAAATGGCATCATATCTGCACAGAGCCCTTTCCTGTCTTCTTTCATATTTAGCTGATCTTTACATTACTTTTAACACCTAACACAGTGGGTAAAGGTATTTGCCACCAATCCCAAGTCCCGAGTTCAGTCCCTAAAACTTACATTTTGGAGGAGAGATGAACTCCTAAAAGTTGTCCTCTGACCATACACACAGACACAGACACACAGACACACACACACACAGACACAGACACAGACACACACACACAAAAAAAAATGATAGAGAGTAATAACTCCACCTAGCACAACTTCAATACCTTGCACATATTAGTTTAGGGAATAAGAGGAAAAGTCTGTTCATGCCCAGAACAGATGCAAATTGAACAACTTTATCAATTGTTTGACTGATTTTTGGTGCTGGGAATTAAATCCAAGTCTTTGCATATGCTAAGCCCATACTACCATTGATTTAAAAAAAAAAGATTTATTTTGTGACTGGAGAGATGGTTCAACCTTTAAGGGTGCCATTTGCTCTTATAGAGAACCCAGATCCGGCTCCCAGCACCCACAGAACAGCCCACAATTCCCTGTAGCTCTTGTTCCAGGGGATCCAATGCCCCTTTTTGGACTCCACGGTCACTGCACACATGGTGGACATATACACATGGATTCAAACACTCATACACATAAAATATAAATTATTTTTATATTTTTAATTATGTGTATCCATGGGTGGGTATGTGTATATGACTTCAGGTGATGTCAGAGACAGAAGAAAAGGTCGGATCCTCTGGCTGTGGGCCACCTGATGTGAGTCCTTTCAAAGAGCTGTGCGCACTGTTGACCTCTGAGCCATCTCTCAGCCTTACCACTGAGTTTTTAAAAGTATTCTTTGGTGATTTCATATATGAATACATGTATATTTAGATAATATAGACATCGCCTTCCTTCTCCTCTTCAACTCTTCCTGAACCTCCTCCCATTCTTCTCCTAACTTCATGCTGCTGCCTCCTCCTTTTTATCTTCCTCTTCTTCTAAATAATCCACTGAGTCCACTTAATGCTGCCTGATGCCCATGAAAATAAAGGACTGTCCAATGGAGTATGGGCAGCCTATCAAGGGCCACACCACTGAGAAAACTGCCCCTTCTTCTTTCAGAATCTATCAACTGTCAACAGCTCTTGCAGCTAGACATGAGCTGATGATTGCCTTTTTGAGATGGGGTCTTTTTACCCAACCAGGGCAGGCCTTGAACTCCTGCTTCTCCCATCTCAGCCTCCTGAGTGCCAAGATGGCTTTTCATCCAGTGTTGGTCTGAGGAGGCTGATTTGTAATCTGCAAAACCACTGTCTGGACTGTTCAGCATGGCTTGTCGGGCAGCGATAAGAAAAGACAAAGTGTCTAGGCTCCTGACTGCTTTGGACTCAGTTGAATGCTTTTGGGATCCATGGTGATTTTGAGTTATCATTTGGGCACATGATGTCCCAGAGGAGAGGGAGAGACTGCTTATTTTCTGTGCAGCTTTCAGTCCTGCATCTGTAGTGTTCACAACAGGGTGAGAAGCAACACGGTGGCTTCAGGGGACCAGTCCTTTTGGAGCAAGATGCTGACTGGGTGGGGCTTCACACTGAGAAGCAAGGCCTTGGCTTGCAGCCTGCAGGGCATGGGTAGCCTAGTCAGGTGACCTGTCTTTTGGAAGCAGATGGAGAACTCAGACAGATAGGGAGGGCAGCCATCTTAGAAAGACAGCCACTTAGGTAGTGGCAGCCAAACAATGACGAAACAGTTCAAGGATGCATGTGGTGGGGCATGCCTGCAACCCTAGCTCCTTGGGAAGCTGAGGGGATCAGTACTGGGAATTGAACGTAGGGCCTTGAACATGGCACGCAAGTACCCTACCACTGAACTATACAGCCTGGCCCTCTTTAAAAAGGAACTTTCATTTTTGATTGTGTGTGTATAAATGCCCGCCCCTCGACCTTACCCACTCCTTTCTCGGACTCCTCCCTCACCAGACATGGTCTCTTCTGTCCTGGCAGAGACACGATGAGCAGCCACGGCAACAGTCTGTTCCTGAGGGAGAGCGGCCAGCGCCTGGGTGGCGTGGGCTGTCTGCAGAGCTTCCAGGACAGTCTGCAGCAGAGAGCTCTGCGCACGCGCCTGCGTCTGCAGACCATGACCAGAGAGCACGTGCGGCGCTTCCTGCGCAGGAATGCCTTCATCTTGCTCACAGTTAGCGCTGTGATCATTGGTGAGCTCTGCTTAAGGGAGGCGGGACTTCTATTAACATCACCCCTCCTCCTCCCCGCTGTGCATTCATCTAACAAGTCCCCAGCCCCTCAGAGGACATAGGTAGAGAGGGTACACACACAGGCAAACACAGCTGTAAAAACACGATGTGATGTCACATGTGTGAATATGTACACACACAAGTACACTGTGCAGACATGCACTTTACAACTACACACAGAGGATGACGCATATATTTTACATATGCACAGAATTTAGAGGTGTAATCACATAAACTGTGCAAACGTTCATAAATATGCAGCTATCATCATACAGTTGGGATATTGGTTCCGTCAAATACTACCCCGTTTTGTTGAAGAAACTTGAATGTCTATTGATTTAGATATGCAGGCATTTGATTATTTACAAGCTTTTGTTTTCTGTGGATGCTTAAATTTCTTAAATAAAATGGTGCTAGTGTTTGTATAGGATCGGTGGCTGTCTTGCTCTTTTGGTTACTTTTAACACCTAAAGCAATGTAACCGCTAGGTAAATAGTTGCTATACTATATTATCTAGGAAATATTAAGAGAAAAAAATCTCCACACGTTCAACAGATACAACTGTTGAATTATGTGCATGTTGTATAAAACAATGGATTTCATCATGACATCTATATATTCAATGCGCTTTGGTCATATTCTTTTTCTTCACCCCATCTTTCTTAGTCAGCCCCTCCTGTTCCCTTTCCCCTCGCCTAGTAGTTCCCCTACTGCTTTCATTAGATACAATTTTTCCCCTAAGAATTTCCATGTGTGCTTGATTAACTTGACAGTGTGGCATCCAAATATACCAGGGCCGGCTGTGTTAGGCTTTGTGAACACTTTCTCACACTCATATATGCATTTACATCTACATGCTCAGAAGCCTAATTGCATATGCACTTCCATATTTGAAAGTGGTAACGTAGACACAAGAGTCACACTTATAGACATGCCCAAGAAATGCATGTGCATATCTTTGTATATGAGCCCACATATGCAGTCACATGTTTATGCTCACAACTGGACATACACTCTCCATATATGTGCACATGAATGTACACACATACCTAAAAGCACACAAATGCATATAGTGCACACATATATCTGTGTGCACACAATGGTACACACATACATACCCATTTATACAAATGCACACTATGTACATATATACTCATGCTCACACAAATGTACACACATACATACTGACATGCATACATACCCATGAACACACTCATATACACACAGATCCATGCATACGCAAATGCACATTTATAGCTAACACAATGTACTCATGCACATACCCATACATATACCTAGCCATGCATATACTTTTTTACACAAGCCCACACATGTGTAAAGTGCACACAAATACCCACATCTATATCCACACAAGCACACACACATACTCATGCACAAATGTACCCATGCACACACAAATCCACAGAATAACCAAGCGCAGAAATACACACCCTTATAAAATATTCACTGCTCACCCTAGTGCATTCTCTTTGGGATAGATGGGCCCTGCATGGGGTTGAGATCCATAGTCCATTCAATGAACCCTTCTTTTGTTGCTCTAGGAGTCAGCCTGGCATTTGCTTTGCGCCCATATCAGCTCTCCTACCGCCAGATAAAGTACTTCTCTTTTCCTGGTGAGCTGCTCATGAGGATGCTGCAGATGCTGGTACTCCCCCTCATCGTCTCCAGCCTTGTCACAGGTGAGAGCCCAAGCCATTGTGCATCTTCAGGATCCACTCGGAGTCCAAACTTGAGAAAAGAGCCAGGGCTACCCTAACTATGGGAGCCCTTTCCCAACTCACCAACTCAAGCTATGCCCAGGTCTTGCTTAATTTCTGCTGCCACATGATCCATGTAGCCCGATAACTTTCTTGTGCTTTTGCTTGAAGGTAAAATACCATCCTGCGTTGTTGATCAACAGTGGTCCCTGTTCAGGCGCCACTGTTGATTGCCTCTGGGTGGGCTACTCAGTCTAGGGTTAGTAACCCACCCGGCAGTCAGTTATTCCAGGGTCCCGGAGAGGCACTACCTATAAGATATGAGCTAGGAGACAGGAAGGAGGCCATGCTAAGTTTGTCAGAGCCTCCGTTTATTAGAGATGGGGTACAGCTTATATAAGGTAAGGAGTTGGGGGTGGGCACAGGAGCCTGGGCTCTTGCCACGTGGTTCACGTTGGTCACATGGTCCGAGTTGGTCACGTAGGCAGGAGGTTATCTTCGGTCAGGTCACTGTAGGCCAAGAAGTCACAAGTTGACACACCTAGCTCCCTAGATAGTTTGGAATGTGGGGTGGGTTCCGCTAACAGATAGCTCTCCATAAACAGCCAATTTGGGTGTGGGGTAGGCTCTGTCAATAGAACTATTCCTAACACAATTAAGGGTGTGGAGTTCTCTGCAGACTCCCCAGGGTGATGGTTCCTGTAATGATTTTAGGAGGAAATTGGCTCCTGACACTGCGTGAGTTCAGAGTTATTCAGAGGGGAGAAAGAGACCATGGAGGGGCAGAGAAGGTGGATGGGATGTGGGGTAGATGAATAGGAGGTGGGATATAAGTGAACATGTAGGAAGTGAGTGGGATGGAGGTGTCAGGATGGAGGATGGAGGAAGGGAAGGAGCTGTGGATGCATTGTGTAGCACTTTTCTTATAGATGGTAAATGTTTTTGGCTTCAAGGGTCATCTGATCTTCATTGCAATGGTTTGATTCTGATGCTGGAATGGAAGAGCACCTATAGGCAATATGTCAACAAATGGGCATGACTATTGCCCTAGTTTCATTGATGTTGTAATAAAACACTTGACAAAAGAACTTAGGGGAGAAAGGGTTTATTTTGACTCTCAGTTCCGGGTTGTATTTCACCATTCAGGGAAGTCAGCATAGGAACTTGAAGCAGCTAATCATAACCTACCCACAACCAAGAGCAGAGAGAAAATAAATGGACACATGCTTATTTGTGTCATGCTCCACTCTACATGTATGCGGTCCGGAATCCCTTGCTTAGGGAATGGTGCTGCACACATGGGTGGGTCTTCCTCCTTCAGTCAGTATAATCTATGCAACCCCCACAGACACACCCACAGGTCCACCTGATCTAGACAATCCTCCATTATCTCTTCCTAGTAGTTTTAGATTGTGTTAACAATTGAAACTACTCATCAGAGTTGTGTTTTAATAAAACTTTATTTAGTGCACCAGATTTAGCTCATAGGTGGTGTTTAGTAACCCTTGGGTTTAAGGACAGAAATAATGATCACAGCTTAAAACACCGCTTTCTTAGGTTGGGCTTCTTAGAAGTCAAGCCTGACATATGAATCTGGTCAAGAGAAACTCATGGAGGGAGAAACCCATGAGGAAGCTAGGGAAGCAGGGTGGGGAAAGAAGCTAAGCAAAGATGTGTGTTCAGAAGAAGGCTGGTCTCTTAGTGTGATCTCGTTGGATGGGATCTCTGAAGTGTGAGCAATATCATGGTGTTGTTCCTCACCCCTAACTCTGTCCTCATCTGAATCCCTGCCCCAGCCAATTATTGACTGTAGCTCACTCCGGGGCCTTTCTGGAAGAGGAAGCTCCCATTCTGCTGGGGATCATTCTTAGTGGAAGGGGGAAGTGAAGGCTGTTAGCATCCCAAACTCATAGAAGCTGAATGGTTGCAATGGTCTGGTAGGGAACATGTAGGTACAGCATGAACAGTATCCAGGCAGAGTGCAGAAAGAAGTGGGTTGGAGGGAGGTGAGAATTGGGGTGGACCATGAGATGAAGGCTTCAATGTTTGTGATATTCATGGTGCAGAGATAGGGGGGGGGGGGGTTAGGTAGGAGTTACGAGGTTGACTTGGAGTAAAGGGAAGGTACTGTGATTGGTAGAGTTATTTACTCGTGTGTGTGTGTGTGTGTGTGTGTGTGTGTGTGTGTGTGTGTGTTGTGTGTGTGTGTGGCCCCCAACATGTGTATGGTGGTGAGTGAATTGGTTTTGATTCAGGTTTACCCAGTTACTCGTTTCTTGAGCAATATTTTTGTTTTAAAAATTGTTTTTAGCTTGAGAATCAAAATCTGAATCATCCCTTGGTTGAACTCCTAGGAGACTAGTTCAGAAATCTCCATAGAAACCAATGCCTGAGAATGCTGAAGCCCTTTTTGCAAAATGATGTAGTGTTTGCAGATGACCTATGCCTCCTCTCTTGTGTACTTCAGATCATCTCTAGATGACGGGTATACCATATAAACTATACAATTTCATAGCAAAACAAAACTTCTTATTTACTTTTATGTATTTATTTTGGTATTATTATTTAATCATGTGCCTATGTGGGTATATGCACATGAGTGCAGGTCACCATAAAGGCCAAAAGGTACCTGGAGCTGGAGTTACAAATAGTTGTGAGCCACAGAATATTTGTGCTGCTGATGGAATTTGGGTTCTGTGTAAGAACAGCATGTCTTCTTAACTACTGAGTTACTTCACCAGCCCCTTTATTCACTTTACAAAACTATAATCAATTTATATTTTACCTCATAATATATTTATTCATGATAACATAAAAGCATTTGTATAGATAACTATCAGCAGTTGAAGTGAACCTATGATTTCTGTGGACATCTTCAGTTAAGGAATATGCAATAATTTTTGAGCTGATGGTATGGAGTAGGTGGAACAGATGGAGGGAAAAGGAGTTGGTTGCTGTGGCACAGAATGCACTATCTCTCTTTTAGGTATGGCATCCCTGGACAACAAGGCAACAGGGCGGATGGGAATGCGGGCAGCTGTGTACTACATGGTGACCACAGTCATTGCGGTTTTCATCGGGATCCTAATGGTCACCATCATCCATCCTGGCAAGGGCTCCAAGGAGGGTCTGCACCGTGAGGGCCGAATTGAGACTGTCCCAACAGCTGATGCTTTCATGGACCTGGTCAGGTGACATTCTCATTTTGTTGGGACTTCTGGATGTACATGCAACAATTCTCTTTCTCTGAGAGACCACAGGAAAAGGTGGATCTAGTTTGGAAAAGAAAGCAACTATCGGTTGCTATTTGTGGTACTCAATTTTTGCCCTGTATTGTGGTACTCAATTTTTGCCCTGCATATCCTCAAGAAAGCTACATCTAGATATGACTTTGAACTCTGAGACTAGGGAGGACACAGTCTGAGTATCTCAGGACTGAGAAAAAGGAGCTGCTGTTCACTAGGTGTTCCCAACTTCCTTTCATGAGCAAATGATTCTCTTAATCCAACAAGACTTTGCTGTCAGAATTGACATCAAAGTTAGTCATGTTGTTCTCATAGTACTGACTTGGAGTTGGAAGAGTTTAGGAACTGTTATGGTGTTTTCTACTGCTATTATACAATAGCTGAGGGTCAATGAGAGGGCTCAGTGGGTAAAGGCACTTGCTGCAAATCCTTTGGATCCACCTGGTGGAAGGAGAGAATCTCGCATCCATATACGTCCTGTGGCATATATGTGCACACACACATACACACATGCACACATGCACACATATGCATCCCTAAATAAATGTAATAAGATTTAGGGTCAGTGAGGTGATTTAGTGGGTAAAGGCACTTGCCTCCAGGCCTGACAACCTGGTGAGATCCACATGGTGGAATGAGAGAACCAACTCCTACACGTTGTCTACCTTTTCTATGTACACCATGGCACTGCACCTCCCCAATAAATATATTAAAATTTAAATGAAGTGAAAAGTGTACTTGAAATCAAGTTAGTTGTAAAATAAAAACAACAACAATATCAAAGAGAAACAAAAAAACAAAAGTTTACTTAGCTCATTATTTAGGAATTTAGGATGTCCAAGAACTTGGTACCAGCATCTAGTGAGGACCTTCTAGTTGCATGCTAACATGGCAGAAGGCATATGTATAGTTAGCCAGAGCAAGCATATCAAAAACAAAGCCACCTCCTATTAATCTATAAACCTTTTAGTACAAGGATCTACCTCTAAACATCTCCTTTATGGCAGTCAGATTCCAACACGACTTTTGGAGGGGCCTAACTGTAGTCAGTCCAAGGTAAGTTACACCTGCACCTTCGAGCAGCTCTGTGGGACTGGGTGATGTCCTCTGGCCTTTGGTTACCTTGTGTGGAAGCTAGGGATATGAACAGTATTTACTTCTAGGGTCACTGTAGGGCAGGCACTTGACCCACAACATGCATTTCTATGTTGCCTGCTGCAACTATTGTCATTGCTTCTGCAGTAGTCACCTTTGGCTCACTTCCAAAGTCTAACCACTTTCTCTTCTCTGATGTTTTTGTGCAGAAATATGTTTCCACCTAACCTTGTGGAGGCCTGCTTTAAACAGGTTAGGAGGAAGCACATGGTTTAATCAAGGAGGGATGGAGGGGAGAGGGAGCTTGCTTCCCAAGGAGAAGGGTGGGAGAACGGCCTAAAAGAGTGGGTAGGTGGGAGGCCTTGGGGAGGATTCTGGGAGAACAAGTGTACTTCCCATGGCTATGATGGTGATACAAAGGGTTGCCAGGGTATGGGACTCATACTGAGAATCTGGGGTAGGCGTTCTGGGACTTCTGATCACAGATATCCTAAAATGTGTCTGAGCATCACCTTGGAGATGATAATAGAAAAGTGGGCACAGGCAACGTGTGAAGAGGACTTTTCTGTAAAATTTTATTTGCAGAAGCAAGTAGTGGACTGGATTTGACCGTCAGAGGGTGTTTAACAACCTATTGAAGGCTAGACATAAAGATGCAGACTATATAGCCATTCTTCCGTGCTTTGGCTTTTAACATCCTTGCTATTCAGTTACTCATTTCTTCTCCTTGGTGAAGAAGATGAAATACAGGTCTTGTTTATATTAGGCCAATGTCAGTTATTTTATTATTATCATTATTAACCATCATCAATATGTGTGTATGTTTGTGTGTGAATGCATATCAGGTGTGGACGTGGATCTCACATGACAACTTTTGGGAGTTGGTACTCTCTTCCCACCACGGTTCTGAGGCTCTAACTCAGATCATCAGGCCTGTGCACAGTGAACACTTTTACTTGCTGTGATCTATCTTTATGACCCAGTTACTCATTTCTTTAGTCATACGTTTTATTAAGAACTTTAAAATTGAAATATAAAAATTGTAGTATCCCTTGGCATTAACAAAGATTGTATACAAAATCTTTGCTGCTCAAGTCTCTTACAACAACAGGTAGAATTTGCTAATGACCTCTAGATCATCCTCTAGGTGACACAGTACAGCTAACACATGTAAATGATATGCAGACAGCTGTTCTACATTAGAACCATTTAGAGCAGTGGTTCTCAACCTGCCTAATGCTGTGACCCTTTAATACAGTTCCTCATGTTATGGTGACCCACAACCATAAAGTTATTTTCGTTACTACATCATAATTGTAATTTTGCAACTGAGAGGTGTCTTAGTTCCTAAGAAACTTAGAAATAATGTGTTATCCGATGGTCATGACCTCAGGTTGAGAACGGCTGGTTTAGAGAATAATGACAAGACAAATGTGTGTATGTGTTCACTACATAAATGGTTTTCTTTTAGTGTTTCCAATCCATGGCTGACAGACCTAAGTCATGATTGCACAATTTGTGGAACCAATGAGTTTTTGGCAGGTTTTCTAATTGGAGTATGGGTGAGGGGTTACTTACAGGAGCAGGGATGACTCAAAGACATCTGCATCCTCAGAAAAGCCCAGCCCAGAATGGGTGACAGCTATTGAAAGCTGTATTCCCAGAGGAGCTCTCTGTGCAATTTACAAGCAGCTCACCAGGTCCTGGACTCTCCTCTTGGGAGCTTGGCAGGTCAGAGTCTCCTCCACTAGTGATTATTTAACGCTTTTATAAAGGCAAGGGAGGGTTTTTGCAAATCTTGTAAGCCTCAGATTTCCCAAATACGTGAAGTTTGTTTACTTCCTGAATTTCATGAACCTACTGGAGTGAATCTTTCAATTTAGAGGAAGCTGCTATACAATAGTAGAATACACTTATGTTTTTAATGGAACTCTGAAATATATATACACACACAGACATACATATTTTATATGATATATAAAATATATATTAAATATACATATTTATATACACATACACATAATTTATTATATATAATATATATATTTTATATATAAACAAAATAATATAAATATATGAAATATGCATATATGGTGAAATGGCCAAATCATGCCAATTAGATAAACACACACACACAATAAATAAATCTTAAAAATCTTTCCAATTTTGGTTATTGGATTGTTGTTTTATTACATTTTACTTATTTACTTTGTGTGTGTGGTCATGTATAGATGTGGGTACATGCCATGGCACACATGTGGAGAATAGAGGACAAGGTGCAGAGTCAGGTCTCCACGTCTACCATGTGGGGCCTGGGATCAAACTCAGATTATCGGCATCAGTTGAAAGCTCCTGTACACCCTGTACTGTCTTGTCTCCCACAGAGTTGGAGTTTTTGGTAGCTCAATTTGTATTTCTTTGAGTTGTTTTATCCATTTCCTTGGTTACATATCTAACTGGGGTCTTTCTGGGCTATAAGAGTAATTCATGTGTGTGTGTGTGTTTTGCTCACATATGTGCATACATGTGCGTGCTCATGCCAACACCAAGGATGGAATATAGAAACTTACATGCCTAGTTCCCGGTTTTTATTTTTTGCAGCATGTCCATTCTTAGAGATATTTACAAGGGAGTTAACCACCATACTGAATCTGGTTCCAATTTCTCTGCATTTCAGTTTAAGACGCAGTACAGCACACGAATGGTAACAAGGACGATTGTAAGGACAGAGAATGGGTCAGAGCTGGGGGCCTCCATGTCTCCCCCATCCTCAGTAGAGAATGAAACCAGCATCCTGGAGAATGTCACCCGGGCCTTGGGCACCCTGCAGGAGGTGATAAGCTTTGAGGAGACTGTGCCTGTGCCTGGCTCGGCCAATGGCATCAATGCCTTGGGCCTTGTGGTCTTCTCTGTGGCCTTTGGGCTGGTCATTGGTGGCATGAAGCACAAAGGCCGTGTCCTGAGGGACTTCTTCGACAGCCTCAATGAGGCTATTATGAGGCTGGTGGGCATTATCATCTGGTGAGTAGTAGGGTGGGTGCCGGGGACTGGGTGGGTGGTGATGGTTCCTGGAGGTAATGGCAACAGGGCTATTGGGACTGTTGGAGACATTTGGCTAGTCATTCATCTGTGTACTAGTTAATTTAATCATCAACTCATTTGTTCATTCATATCTTTCTGTAGGGATTTATTCAGCTGTTCATGACCCCATTAATCTACTTACTCCCTTACTTGTGCATTGGCTCAGTGAATCTGTGCTCATTCTTCACGCATTGGGTCATCGACCCCCCCATTTTTAAGTAATAAAAATGTATTCTTAGAGGACTTCATACATGAATACAAAGCGTTTTGATAATATTCACATTCCCATTCTCCCTCCAACTTCTCAGCTTCTCTCAGACTCTCATGTCCCCCTTCTGACTTTATATCCTCATATGCATGTTTGTATATATCTGCCATTGATTCCAAGTAGAGCTGTCTGTAGGAACGTGGATGAGGGCACATTCACTGAGCTTGGACAACCTACATGATGCCACATCCATGAAAAAAGTTGACTTTCCCTTCCCCAACAGCCACTAACTGTCAAAATCAAAATAGTTTCTCAGCTATGGGTGGGGCTTGTGAATCTCTCCCCACTCTGTGTTGGAATGGTGATTGGCTTGATCTCATATCAATCTTGTGCAGAAAGCTACAGTTGCTGTGAGTTCATTTCATTGTTTTTGAGACAGTCTTCCTATGTAGCCCAGGATTGTCTGGAACCTGCCAGCCTTTTGTGTCAGCTTCCTGATTGGTGGGGTTATAGGTATGTGCCACTACATTTCTGCATCGGCTAATTTACTCATCAGCTCATTAATTAACTTCCTTTTTCTTTACTGTAGTGATTTTACTCAGTGACTTATTCCTTCATTCCTTTCTTCCATCATTCCATTCATCTATTTCTTTCATTCACTCATTTATTCTCATTTTTCTCGCTTTGGCCCACTTGCTTCTTTTAATTTATTCTTCTAATTATCAGTTCGATCACTTATTTGTATATCTAGTCAGTGATTAATCTGTTAATTAATTAAATTATTTCACAATTATTACTTTATTGCATTATCATATATCAATAATCTATTATCTATCTATCTATCTATCTATCATCTATCTATCTGCTGTGTCTGAGTATTGTAGGGATAAGTCCCGCCCCTTGGGGGGGCGTGTTTGCCTCGGGCTAATGTTTGCCTATAAATTTGGCAAGCGTGCTCCCAGCCGTCCCTTCTGCTTTCCTGGTCTCTGCAGGAACGGTGGTTCTGTAAGTCTATTTCACCATTAAAGCTGTATATATATTTTTACAATCTGTCTGCATTCGTTTACGCCATTACATTTTGGCATCCAACGTTGGGCTATTTTGCCCCTGCCTCAAGCGGGTAGCCCGCTAGCTAACACAGCACCCTCCTGGGTGCTGTTTTTTAGTTCGTGACTTGGGCCCCAGTGCCGAGTCCGAGACACACTAGGCCACACAGGCCCATTCTGCCCCACCTGCTCGCCAGAGCAATTAACCCCTCCCTGCCTGCCTTGGCTAAGTTTGGAGTGGAACCCCACTGCCTGAATTAGCAGAAACTCAAGTACCTGCGGTTTTGCAACAAAAGCTGCCACAGCAGCAGATTTGGTCTGCTACAAAGTGACAAAGGTGCACGCCTTTGATACCAGCACTTGGGAAGCAGAGACAGGCGGATCTCTGTGAGTTCGAGGCCAGCTAGGTCTACAAGAGCTAGTTCTAGGACAGGCTCCAAAAACACAGAGACCACCACTGGCAGGAACCTATCATTGCAGGTAAAAAATTTTTCTTTTATAAATAAAATGTCTGAACACGTTACTGTTCAAGAATTTAACAGTTTTTTTTAATTGTACCATGTGGGTGATTTTACAAGAGGTGTCTATTACCCCACATCTATGGATCCTTCTGGGATTCATAGTTTTCATTGGCACTAAATGGTTTGATAATAGAAATATGATAAAGTCTTTACGAGATGAATCCAGGATTCTTAAGGCAGAGATTGAACGCTTAAAAACAATTGAGAATGACAACAATCTTCTCAAGAATCAGTTTGAAGTTCTCCAGGCTGCGTTTGTAGTAATAGGAGCAGCGGGGCTGCATCCCCAGCATCCCGGCCGCCTGGCTAGCTTATGCCCCGAAATAATTACATGGACACTGTATTCTTTTAATCACTGCTTGGCCCATTTCTATCTAGCCTCTTCTAGGCTAACTCTCGCACCTGGACTAGCCCATTTCTAATATTCTATGTAGCACAACTGGGTGCGCTTACTGGGAAGATTCTAGCCTACATCCATCCTGGGTCGGAGCTTCATCGCGTGTGTCTGCCCAGGAGATGGGAGCATGGCGTCTCTCTGAGGCGTCTGCTCCTGAGAGGAGAGCTGCCGAGTCTGAGCTCACTTCCTCTTCCTCCCAGCATTCTGTTCTGCTTACTCCACCCACCTATGTTCTAACCTATGAGGGCCAGTCAAGCAGTTTCTTTATTTTTTTTAACCAATGACCTTCCTCCATCAGAGTATATGTGTATGGATATGCATGCCATAGCATGCACATGGAGATGGAGGATAAACTTGTGGGAGTTAGTTTTCTCCTTCTACCATGTGGATTTCAGGATCCATCTGAGACCATCATACTTTGCAGAACACATCCTCACCTGTGGAGCAATTTTTCTGGCCCCTATAATTATTTTAAGTGCTAGGGTTGAATTGAGGCCTTACAATCACTGATTTGTACCTTCAGTTTCTTAAATAACTATCTTTTTTTGCATGGTGCTTAGGATGGAACCTAGGGCCTTGAATAATCTAGGTTAATACTGTAGCGTTAACCCTATTAGTTAAGCTATTGACTGCATTTATTCGTTTACCCACTTCCGCCAGTCTACTTGGATTCATTCCCAGACCTGCTTATTTGCATAGGCACTTGCCATTCTCTCATTCACTCCCTCAGACATTCCACATGTCTATTCACTTATATACTTACTCTTGTCCTGTTTTCTCATTTTCCTTTCTTCATTTGGGGATGGTGTGATATACATGTGCATGTGTATGCATGTTATTTTTGCATGTGTGGGGGTTAGTATGCATGTGGTGGCCCAAGGGGGATGTTGGGAATCATTTTCCATCGCTCTTTCACATTATTCATTAAGGAAGGATCTTCCAGTTAAACCTCAGGTTCAAGAAAATGGCTCACCTTGCTAGCCAAGCTGTTCTCTGGGATCCCCTGACTTCACCTTTTGAGGTTGGAAATACAGGCTTGCTGCAGTGCCTATCTAGTATTACATGGGATTCAAACTCTGCTCCTCATGCTTACATGACAAGTGTTTTAACCACTGAGCCATCTCCCCAGACCTGTACCCCTTTACATATTAACTTTTTCAAAATCCTTTCGTCCCACCACTAGATCATCCACCTAGCAGACATCTCCCCAGGCTTGAAACATAGATACACTGAAGTCATACTTTATTGGTGTGGGACAATTCTGTATTCTGTCAATTTTGTTTTAAATAAATGTTGATTGGCCAATAGCTAGGCAGGAAGTATAGGCTGGATAACCAGACAGGAAGTAGAGGTGGGGCAATGAGAACAGGAGTATTCTGGGAAGAAGGAAGCTCTTACTGCAGTCCTGCAGACACAGGAGAAGGACGATGTGACTTGCCCTGCTGAAAAAAGTACCGAGTCATGTGGCTAACATAGTTAAGAATAATGGGTTAATATAAGTTATAAGAGTTAATAAGAAGCCTGAGCTAATGGGCCAAACAGTTTATCATTAATATAGACCTCTGTGTGATTTCTTTGGAACTAAGCAGCTGTGGGAACTGGGCAGGCCAGAAACCTCAACAAGCAGGCCCTCATGATACACTTTAATCTTGAAGACATTTGTAAAATCTAGGAGGAGACAGATGCAGACCATGTGTATGTAACCCAAAGCAGTAGGTGCTGTAGTAAAATGCAGTGGATGCTGCCTGGGAAGATGAGGAGTGAGACATACAACTGGATCTGAAAGGTGAGGAAGAATATTAACTGGGTATGAGGAGGAGAGAGATATCGCAAACAAGGAAGAGAACAGGCAAAGCCTGAGAAGCCCTGAGTGTTTGTACAATGACTATTCTGGGTTTACTTTTGTTGCTGTGATAAAATTCTGACATAAAGAGCAGCACAAAGGGAATTTACAGCCTTACAGGTCCAGGTTTCATTCCATTACTGTAAAGAAGACAAGGAAGGAACTTAAAACATCACATCACAATCAAGAGTAGAGAGAATCAACATGTGAGCCCCTGATTGCTTATTTGTTTGCCTGCTTAGTCTCAGCTAGCTTCCTTGATTCTCCCACAGTCCAGGGCCCACCAAATGGTGCTGCCTATAAGGGGCTGAGTCTTCTTACAACAATTAGCAATTAAGACAGTCCCTCATGGACATGCCCACAGGCCAACTTGATCTAGATAATCCCTCACTGAAACTTTCTTCTCAGGTAATTTTAGCTTGTGTCAAGTTGATAGTTCAAACTAACTAGCACAGAAGAAAATTTATGAAAGTTTGGAAGGCCAGAGATAGGGGATGTCTTAGTGTCTTGGTTAGGGTTTCTATTGCTGTGAAGAGACACCATGACCATGGCAACTCTTATAAAGGAAAACATTTAATTAGGACTGGCTTACAATTTAGTGGTTTAGTTCATAATCACCATGGCAGGAAGTGTGGTGGCATGCACGCAGATGTGATGCTGGAGAAAGAGACAAGAGTTCTACATCTGGATCAGCAGGCAGCAGAAAGAGATAAGCAAACCAGGTCTGGCTTGAGCATCTGAAACCTCGAAGCCTGTCCCCAGTGACACACTTCCTCCAACAAGATCACACTCCATCAAGGCCACACCTCCTAATAGTGCCATTTCCTATGAGCCTACGGGGATCATGTTCATTCAAACTACCACTTAGCAATGTCTAAGGATGGGATTCTGAAGGTAATAGTCATCTGGAGTCAAGTTGGAAGGGACTTGAACAAGGGAATGAGATAAAGACACCAGAAGGCTGCCTGCTGTGGTGTGGTAGGAAGTTTCTTGCTGATTGGATGAGCAGTTGGGTGACCGGTGGGAGGTGAATGTATTCATAGAATTCGACTGTAGTAGTTAGTCCCCTGTTGTTATGACAAAATGTCCAGAAAAAAAAACAATTTAAAGGAGGAAAGGTTTATTTTTGTTTCACAGTATTGCAGATTTCAGTGCATAGTTGGCTGGCTCCATTGCATTTGGACCATGAGGGTGAATGGATACAGCCAATAAAGCTGCCAACTTCACCACATCTAGGAAGAAGAGAGCAAGAGAGTGAGGGGCTGGGGAGAGAAGGTACACCCCCTAGTGACCTACTTTCTTTAACCAGGCCCTTCATATAGTTTGCTCCCAATAGCTCATTCAGTTATGAATGCATCAATGCATAACCCATAGCAGAGGTTGGGATGCTCATAACAGTTTAGTTTTCACAGTCCCCACCTGAGAACATGGGACCACCAAGGACCAGTGTTCAACAAGTGAGCCTTTGGGGGCAATGTTTTGGAAACAAACCCTAGCACCAGTGCTATTTTAAAACTTATTTTATTTATGAGTGTGGATGTGTTAGTGGATGTGCAGATGTGCCTATGGGTGCTCAAAGAGCCCAAAAAGTGGTTCCAGATTCCTTGAAGCTGCAGTTGGAGATGTTTTTGAGCTGTCCAACGTGAATGGTGGTATCCAAAATCAGGTTTTCATCATTGAACATCAACTCCTAACCACAGGGTCATTTTCCCAGTGTCCCAGTGCTGACTTTGATGCTTGGGATAGGTTGGGATGAAGTTGGGATCGTGTGGTAGGAGCTGTCTGGGTTCAGGACACTGTATGGGCAAAGCTTTGGAATGCCAACTCCAGACCTGTGAGGGAGATCACCCTAATAAATATGTGTCTTGCTCAGGTATGCACCAGTGGGCATCCTGTTCCTGATTGCTGGGAAGATTCTAGAAATGGAAGACATGGCTGTCCTTGGAGGTCAGCTGGGCATGTATACTCTGACTGTCATCGTTGGCTTGTTCCTCCATGCTGGTGGTGTGTTGCCCCTCATCTACTTCCTCGTCACCCATCGGAACCCTTTCCCATTCATTGGGGGCATGCTACAGGCCCTCATCACAGCCATGGGTACCTCTTCCAGGTATGACCTTTCCCGGAACTCTCCCTGGGTCTATTGTTCATCTTTCATGGGTTCCTTTAGGTGTCCTCTCCACCTCCCCAAACACCTCTTCTGGTTGTACAGTGGTACTGGAGGACTCTTGAAGCTCTCTACATGTGGCCTATACTTGGGGTTTTAGTCTTTGTCCTGTGATGACTCTCCTAACCTCCTGTCTCTTTGTTTCTCCAGTTTATGAGGAGAACCAGATGCTGGGTTTGAGATGGTACTGTGCGAGTACCACAAGCTCAGAGAGTCTTAGCTTCTGAGGCTTTCTTCTCCTGTTTGTGCTTTTAGGGGGCTAATAAAGTGAGCTCCCTTATCTCTCATCATTCAAATTCAAAACTGTTTGAGCAAGTATCCCAAGAGCCAAACAGATAGGAGAAAATATTTTTATTGTCCTCATGGTGGTTGGAGAATGTGCCTTTTGATCTTTGGTCTGTGGCTAAATAGGATTGATACTATTGTACCCAGAATTAAACCAATCAGATCACTATGGAGCTAGTCACCCCACCCTCCCAGTGCTATTTCTGATGCTCAGAAAAGGTTGAAGTAGCATTGGGTGTTTTGCAGTAGGCCATGTCTAGTTCCAAGGCCAACATTTGTGAGTCCAAGCTCTAAGTTTCATGGCATAAAGCTGACCACACAGGGGTCTGTTCTTGCAGAAAAACCGACCCCAAATGAGATGCCTACTCTTTCTACTTAAGTTGACAGTCAAGTGGAAGTCCAGTCTGAAGTGGTTGGGGAGAGGCCTAGGGCTCCTGTAGATGAGGTTGTTCCCTGTGCAGACTGACACTCTGCCGTTTACTGTTCTAGGTTCATTTCTGTTGCTGTGATAAAATATACCAATAAAGGACAGTTTAGGGGTGGGGGAAGGAATTTATTTGGTTTACAGTTCCAGGTTACAAGTCCATCTCTCTGGGGAAATCAAAACAGGAGCCTGAGGCAGCTAGTCACATCACTCTCAGGCACAGAGAGTAAATGCATGCTTGCTGCTTGCTTGACTCGGCTTGATTTCTCCACTTTGACGTAGTTCAGAACCTTCTGCCTATGGAATAGTAGCACCCTCAGTAGCCCGAGTCTTCTCATTTCAATTTGTTATGACAATCCCCCAAAGGTAATTCCCATAGGATGACCAAATGTAGTAAGCTATCATTGAAACTGTCTTCCCAGGTAATTCCTGGTTGCAAAACTAACAAAGTTACTCATCATATTTAGGCTTTGGTGTGGGAGGTCAGCCATCAGGGCTAGACTGGCATTATAAACTCTTGGTGTGAATAGGTCAAGAGACATTCCTCTTGGGGGATCCCTACCACTGAGTTCTTTCTGCATCAGGAGTCCCATTTCCCCTCACACAGCTCTTCCTCTCACTTTCTACTCCTTGCTCAGAGTCCAGTCTGGTTTCCACGTGCTAGAGGGAAGCCCTCCTTTGACCCACTGCTGCCCCTGCCCCTGCCCCTGCCCCATCCTTCTACTCCTTATTCTCAGCCTCCAGAGCTCTTTTCCTCCAGCTCTGCAACCCTGCCTATCACTTTCCGCTGCCTGGAGGAGGGCCTGGGCGTGGATCGCCGCATCACCAGGTTTGTGCTGCCTGTGGGGGCCACTGTCAACATGGATGGCACAGCACTCTATGAGGCCTTGGCAGCCATCTTTATTGCTCAAGTCAACAACTATGAGCTCAATCTGGGCCAGATCACCACAATCAGGTGAGACAATGATGTTATCAGCTGGATAGGACAGGATGTGTGTACAAGGTCTACAGACAATTTTCCTGTTTATAGTTGCATCTCATTCCTACTTAAGGATATAATCCAGTATTTGGATAAAGGATGTAGGAGGCTCAGAAGCATTTGTCCCCATACATGGTTTTTCTCACCTATGTTGCCTATTGTCTGCCCGTCATACAAGAATGAAAACGTAAACTCTGTGAAGGAAAGTGTTTCTTCTCTGGAAATTTCTATTGTAGACACATCCTGACTTAAGATGTTTGACTTACGATCTTTCTTTCCCCCTCTCTCCATCCCCTGCCCCTTCTGAGCTGGCTGGCCTGGATGGGTAGCTGGGATCGTAGCCACGTGCCATCAGGCCTGGTAATGGAATAATATTCCTACATTATAAGGGTGTGAGTGTGATACATATTTAATAGAAACTACACTTTGCATTTTTCTACTTTGTATGTATGTATGTGTACCTGTCTGAGTCCATATTCGCCATGTGTGTGAAGGTGCTTTCCAAGGTAAGAAGAGGGATTCAAGTTCCCTAGAACTGGAGTTACGGGCGGTTGTCTGATACAGGTTTTAGGAATAGATCTTAGGCCTTCTGCAAGGGCTGTTAAGTGCTCTTAACTACTGAACCATCTCTCCAGGCACGTGGTTTTAAAGAGTTTAAGAATTGCATTTGTGTGTGTGTGTGTGTGTGTGTGTGCGCGTGTGTGTGTGTGTGTGCGTGTGTGTGTGAGTGTGTGTGTGTGTGTGTGCATGTGTGTGCGTGTGTGTGTCACAGAGCACATGTGAAGGTCAGAGGATCACTTACAGGATTCAGTTTTCCCCTTCTGCTCTGTGGTCCTGGGGATTGAACTTAGGCTTTCAGACTTGGCAGCACAACATCTTTACCCACTGAGCCGTCTCTCAGGTCTCTACACTTTATTTTTGATTGGAATCTTTTCCTAGGCTAGTGATGTGGTGATTGTTTTAATTGTCCTCTTGATGGGATCTGGAATCACCTGATAAGAGAATCTCAGTGAGAGATCGCATAGATCAGGTTGGCCTCTGAGTATGTCTCTGTGTGTGGGAGGATCAGCTTGATTATTTTAATAAATGCGGGGAGGTTCAGTCTAAAAGTGGGCAATGCTTGTTCCCTCAGTTTGAATCCTGAGTTATTTAAAAGTAGAGAGAGACCTCACCTGCAAGCATGCACACATTTTCTATGTGCTTTTGACTGGATGTGTTGTTGCTAACTGCTCCAAGTTCCTGTCTCGACTTCTCTACAACCATGGATTATAACCTGGAATCATGAGATAAAACACATAACCTTTTCTCCTGAAGTTTCTTTTTGGCACGTATGTGCATGCATGCACACGCACACACACACACACTCTTATGTATGTATGTATGTATATATGTATATATATATATGTATGTATGTATATTAATCTCAGTAACAGATAAGAAGACTGGACAGGCACGGTTCTTGGCTCTTTCCTGTTCACAATGAGAAGATAGGAATGTGTCTGCCTTTCTCCTGTACAAAGCTCGTGAAAGGAGTCTTCTCATTCCAAAGCTCATTCTTTAATGCCAGTCTGAGTATTTGCTCAACCACCATTCTGATAGAGAAGTTCTCTGGGCCATTCATCTTCCCTGTTCTATGTGTATTGCTATAAAATCTAGAAAGTGACTTCCTTCACTACTGAGGAGAAAGCTGGCATCTGGGAGGCGCTACTGCCTTTTCTGCAAAGCTCAGTGGCCTTTACAATGCATGTTACATCATGCTGAGCAATTGGAGTTGATGCTGGAATTTTAACAGAGGTCACATGGATCCTACTTTCAATTTCATATTAATTTGTGAGACTTGAAGTGAAAACAAGACTTTGGACATGCTGGACAGGTGCTCTACCAATGAGACAGACACTTGGCTCTTTAAATTGTTTTTTAGAAAGATTATCTGATCAAGAAATGGTCTCTAGTGGGCTGAAGAGATGACTCAGTGGTTAAGAGCATTGTTCTTTCAGAGGAACCACATGTCAACTCACAGCCCTCTATAATGAGATTTGGTGCCCTCTTCTGGCCTGTAGGCATACATGGAGATAGATGTTGTATACATAATAAATTAATTTTTTTCTTTTCTTTTTTCTTTCTTTCTTTCTTTCTTTTTTTTCTTTTCTTTCTTTCTTTCTTTCTTTCTTTTTTTTTTTTTACAAAGGAGCATTTGCTGCTCTTGTGGAGAACTTGGGTTTGATTTCTACTAGTAACGTGGTGGCTTACAACTGTTTATCACCCCAGTTTCTGGGGTCCCAATGCTCTTTTATCGCCTCCATGGCTACTAGGCACACACGCAGTATACAACATACATGAAGGCAAACATTCATTAATATAAAATCAAGAAAACAAACAACTTTAAAAAATCAAGAAATAAAAAGATTCTAAAACTAAGAAGGGCCAGAATGCTCTCACCTCCAATAAGGTAAGCTGTATTTGCCTTCTTAAAAAACAAAACTCTGTCTTTTCAAGTCACATCTTTTTTGAATGATAGCTGACAAAAGTTGCCTATATTTTAAGGTGTGTTTCGCGATTATTTGTAATATGTGCACTCTGCAAAGTGATCACTGCAGTCAGGCTGCTTATTATATTTATCTCCTATAGTTTCCTTCCTTTCCCACACCCCCCTTCTGTAGCCTGTGTCTTCTCTCCTCTCCTCTCTCATTTTATCTTCTCTTCCCTTCTTTTCCACTCTCTTTTTCACTCCTGTCTTCCTGTAATTTCCCACCTCCTCTTCTAACCCTTATGTCCTCTCCTTTTCTCATTTCCTTCCTTCTTTACCATTCCTTCCTTCCTCCCTCTTTTCTATCTCCTTTCTTCCATTCCTTCTTCTTTCCTCTCTCCCCTCCAGAGCCTTATTGCCTTCTCCCTCCCCTCCTCTCCCTGTCTGTCCTTCTGTTCTCTCTGCTCTTCCCTTCTCTTTCTCTTTGTTGATGGTGAGAATAGACTTTAGGTTTGTTCTCTTTGAAAAACTCAAATATCAACACGTTATCCTTAGCCACACCCTCCACACTGTACATTAGATCCCCAGCACCCAGTCATCTGGTATCTAGACATCTCGTAGGTTTTGAAAGACATTTCCTGTTTCCCAGTCCATCTGCACAGCATCACAGTTTCTGATTTTTTGCATCGGTGACTTCAGCATTTTAACTTTAGCTTCACATCCAAAGCGAGCTCATATATCACTTTGCTTTCTGTGTTGGTTTGGGCATTTAACTTAAGATGCCCTTCCCTGCCTGGTCCTCTAATCTCCTATCCTCTCTTTCCTCCTGTATCCCTGATGCTTCTCATTTGCAGCATCACAGCCACAGCTGCCAGTGTTGGAGCAGCTGGCATCCCCCAGGCAGGATTGGTCACTATGGTGATTGTGCTCACATCCGTCGGTCTGCCCACAGAGGATATTACGCTGATCATAGCTGTGGATTGGTTCCTGTGAGTGTGCTTGGCTTTGACCTATCGCATAACCTTTTCCTGCAGGATTCTGTAAGGACAGGGTTGTAGAACATTAGAGGGCTAGGGAGGCTTTGGGATGGTCTGCTATTGATGGCCATAGACTCCAATCCCACAGAGAGCGAGGAGGATTCTGAAAAAGAGGTCTCTGTCGGTCAGCCCACTCCTCTTCAGCCCATTCCATATAGAAATCATACAAAGGTGTTCAAATATATATATATTTTAAACTCAAATTTTTAAAAGTTTTTTTTTCCTTAGTGAAAATGCTAAATATAAAGAATTTTAGAAGTGAGAAGAAAACACAAGTTACTTGTTGTGTTAAAGAGTGAAGAATTTTGGCTTATAAAATCACTTGTGATGGCAGACAAAAGAATTTTGGTGGATTTATGATCTGAATGCTACAACTAGTCACATTCTCTCTCTCTCTCTCTCTCTCTCTTTCTCTCTCTCTCTCCTCTCCTCTCCTCTCCTCTCCTTCCCTCCTTCTCCCTATTCTTTTTCATCAACTAAATTTGTTCCTTGACAACTTCATACATGTATGCAATGCTTTCTGGTTACTCCCCGCTACTCTTAACTCCTCATCTCTGCCAGCCTTTGTCCCTACAACTCTGTTCCCCACATTCATGTCTTTTGTTTGTGACCCACTGAGTTACAACAGAGACATTCGTGTGTCTTGGTGTAAGACTATGCCATGGAGCTTAGTAGGGGCATGAGAGGGTGCACACCTGGAGACAAGGACTCCTAATCCATCAGCACCAGTATTTTGGCAGGAATGAGCCACTCCCTAATCACCATTCCTCCCCTTTATTGCTCTCTCTTTCCCTCCCTCCCTTTCTTGCCTTTCTTCCTCCTCCCACTGTCTTTTCTTGTCTTCCATTTTTCTTCCTTTTTATCTTCCTGTCTCATTTCTTTATCTCCTTCCTCCTCTCTCCCTTTCTTCCTTTCTCTCTTCCTTTCTTCTATCCATTCTTTCTTTCTCTTTCTCTCTCTCTTACTTTCTTTCATTCTTTCCTTCTCCCTTTTTATCCTTCTTGTATCATTCCCTTCATTTACCATTCCTTCCCTCTCTCATTTCTTTTATTATAACATGGAATTTATATAAAATGTTGAGTTTCATCTTCCATGTGGGAGCTGTGAGCAAGACTAAGTCCCACTTGTACAAAAAACTAAAGTTCTGTTTGAACAGTCCCCAGCCTGCCCTACGCCAACATAGACTCATGTTGAAGAGTCTGTATCAAACATTCATGTTCAATAGTCTGCATCAGGTGCTAATGTCTAATGATCTTCATCAGATGCTTATGTCTAACAATCTGTATCAGACCCCATGTCTAATAAGTCTATGTTAGACCCTAATGTTTGATTATTTGCCTCAGACTCTCATAGCTCATAATTTCTAAGTTAGTTTATTTAGAAACAAGAGTCACAGATCAAAGAATAGATCTGAGGATTTAAGGGATGATGTTGTTAGGAAAAGTGGGGCCTGTTTAAGGTCATGTGGTTGTAATTTAGCCTGGAAACCCTTCTAGTCTACCCTTGGTTTTCAAAGGAGTTTTTCAGCCCCACCCATTAATCTATCTATTCTCCACCAGTGACCGGCTTCGTACGATGACCAATGTCCTGGGAGACTCAATTGGAGCGGCTGTCATTGAGCATTTGTCCCAACGGGAGCTGGAGCTGCAGGAGGCTGAGCTGACCCTTCCCAGCCTGGGGAAGCCCTATAAGTCACTCATGGCACAAGAAAAGGGGGCATCAAGGGGTCGGGGAGGTAATGAGAGTGTCATGTGAGAAGCTTCCAGCTCTCTGCCTAGGGAGGAGGGAAGGGACTGGGAGGGGAGTCCTGGGGACAATTTGTTGCCCAACTGACTGTGGGCTGAGCATACATATTCTGTATGGATTCTCTGGGAACTGCTGAGATAAAAGAGAAAGAACAAAAGGTTTCTAAGGTATATCCATCACTGTTTTGTGCTCCAAATACAAGAACAACCTAAGGGAGGAAAGATTTATTTTGGCTATGGTTATAAAGGGCTTAGTTCACCATAGTGGGAAGGCATGGTGGAGAAGAGCAACTCACTTCACGGTGGTCAGCAAGCAGAGACGAGAGAAATGGGAAGTAACCAGGGAAGGACACAGCTCTTCCAGACACACCCTACATCAATGATACCCTGTCTCCTACTTCTCACCACTCCAGCACAGCCGTCATATCATGGAACCATCAAGAGACTGATCCACTCATTAGGCCATTAGTCCAGAGCCTTCACAATGCATTCCTCTCTGGAGATGTCCTCACAGACACACAGAGGTGTGTGCTTTATGAATTTTCTAAGCACTGGTTTCAGTCCAGCCCAGCTGACTAAGACAGTCCGTTATCACAAAGGTCCCTGTTCATTTCTGAGTGTATGATGAGAACTTGAAGGATGGTGTGAGAAAAAGGGGAAGGAAACATTTGGAATTGGGAAGAAGGAAATCTTCAGATAAATCAACTCATACTCTTTTTGTTCTTGAGGAGCGGTGGAGCTGACAAAGGTAAAGAAAAATACCTATTATTTCTTGTGATAAAGTGATCTGTGGCATTTTTGTTGAGGTTCTAAAGACCACCTTTAGATTTAAAGACTCAACAAACTCTGAAAAGTCATTCTCCTCTCAGGTATGGTTTATTATGGTGAAGAACACTGATTAAAACCAACAAAGGCACAACTTGTTGGGCCTGGGCTGGCCTAGACCAGATATGTGTTTCCAGTCCCTTTCTAGTGAAGTCACTGAAACCAATGACTTCTCCCTACAGCAACATTATGACAACGTGTATGGTGCACTGACATCTTAGTTCCATTTTCTGTTGTGACAAAACATGTAGACAAAAGCCACTTGAGGATAGAGGGTTTATTTGTCTCTTAGTTCCTGATTACAGTCTATCATCGCAGGGAAGTCCAGGTGGCAGGAAGCTGAAGGAGCTGTCTCATCCACAGACAAGAGCAGAGAGAAGTATTCAAATTCATTAATGCATGCTCATTAGTGCTCAGCTTGCTCCTTGCATTTCATTAAGTTCAAGGTCCAGCCCATAGAACTGTATGGTCTGCATTCAGGATGGATCTTCTTATCTCAAATAACTCAATGAAAATCACTCACAAGTCCACAGGAAAACCCTATCTCAACAATTTCTCATTGAGATTTCCTTCCAGGCGATTCTAAACTATCAATCTAAACTGACAATTAAGCTAAAACCATTAAAAAGCTCACCTGAACTCTGACTATGTCACACAGGCATGGAACACCTACGGACTTACATTTTTTAGTCTCTGAAATGGACAAACCAGTGTACTATGGTCCAGGGCACCAAGTGCATACCGGAAGTCATTAACCTCATGGTCAGCATACACTCTTGGGTATGGCCAGAGCCCCTTGCTTTGCCTGACACTTTTATCAGGCAAAATTTTTGGAAGATTATTCCAAAGATCAGAGGTGTTCTAGTTTTGTTTCTGTTGCTATGGTAAGACACTTTGACCAAAATCAACTTGAGGGGTTATTTGATGTGAAATTCCAGGTCGTACTCTATCACTGAGTAAAGTCAATGCAGGGACTTGAAGGCTGGTCTGCTTCTATCCCACATAGGGTTATCTTCACCCAAGGAGCTCAGTTTGCAGCCGGAGGAATACAGTAGTAACCATGGAAGATTCTGCTTGCTAGCTGGTTGGCAGGCAAATATGTGCTCAACTGATTTCTTACACAGTTCAGATCAGCTGTCTAGAGATGGTATTGCTCACAGTGGAATGGGTCCTTATACACCAATAAGACATTGGTTTTATTGTTCTATTTCTGTGAAGAAACATGGCAACTCTTACAAAGAAAATTGGGGTTTGCTTACCGTCTCAGAGGTTTAGTCCATTTTCATTGCATGGTGGCATGTGGGCAGTTATGCTATGAGAGAAGGAGTTGACAGTTCTATATCCAGATCTGCAGGCAACAAGAAGAGAAAGTGACACCAGGCCTGGCTTGGGTCCTTGAAACCTCCAGTGACACACTTCTTCCCTGAAGGCCACACTTCTTTTCTTTTTTCTTTTTTTTTTGGTTTTTTTTCGAGACAGGGTTTCTCTGTAGCTTTGGTGCCTGTCCCGGAACTAGCTCTTGTAGACCAGGCTGGCCTCGAACTCCCAGAGATCCCCCTACCTCTGCCTCCCTACTGCTGGGATTAAAGGCATGCGCCACCACCCGCCCCGGCAAGGCCACACCCTGATGACCAAGTATTTATATCTAGGAATGTGTGGGAGCCATTATCATTCAAACTACCAGGACTCCTTCCTCCCAAATTCCAACAGACCAATCTGATCTGGGCAATCCCTCAATTGAAACTCCTGTAGGTGAGTCTAGACTGTCAACTTAACAGTTAAAGCCAAGGAGAATAGAGGTCATAGCTCAAGAGATAAGCAAAGGCCAGTCCTTTATTTGGTTTTTAGGCTTTGAGTACTCTTTGTCCCATGAATTAACCTCTTGACTGCACACTAAGGTTGGAAATGAAGCAATTTCTCACGGAATAGGTTTCTGGATCTAATATCACCAACCATTGACTCCTAAGACTGTACTTATAACTCCATGCTGCCTCAGTGGATTCTGTATTTCTTTACAAATTGAAGAAAGACATCGAATTAAGAATTATTTACTGCACCTAGTTGAACCTGGATGGATATCAAAGACTCGGTGAAAACACAAAGAAACAGTGAAATAGTTTATTTCATATTGCTGTAACAATAATTAAGACTAGATAATTGATAAAGTAAGCAAGTTTATATAAACTACTGGTTCTGGAAGCAGGAATCTAATGCCAGGCAATTCCAACTAATCAGATGAGAGTTTTGGGCTGGTCTATAACATAGGAGAAGCCAGAGGGGGAAGAAGGGCATGCACAAGGAAAATAGGATCAAGTGTAAAAACTAACCCACAAGTAAGGCATGATTCTATTTGTGAATTTCTGTAACTGAACCAGGCTCCATTCTCCAGTACTGCCTCACTGAGAGGTCAGGGTTCAACAAGGACATTTTGGGAGATACTATCAAGTCATCCACAGAAAGAAGCATGACTTGAAGTTAAAGTTTGTGTCCCCTTTGTCCAAGAATGACAAAATTTCCTAAGTTTGATGAAACATAACTTGAACACATTTTTTTCCAATAGGGGAAAGAAATCTAAGTACAGCTAAATTTAATTTTTTAAAAAAGATTTGCTTTTATTTTATGTGTGATAATGTTTTTCCTGTGTACCATATGTGTGCAGTGCCCATGGAAGACAGAAGAGGGTGCCAGATACTCTGGGACTGGAGTTATAGATGGTAGCTACCATGTAGGTGCTAGGACATAAACCTGAGTTCTCTGGGAAGAACAGGCAGTACTCTTAACTTTTGAGCCATCTCTCAAGCTACTAATTTTTTAAGATCAGAAAAAGTTCATTCTTCAAGAATTTTGCATATATATCCAACATATTTTGAACATAACCACTCTCTTTTTCCCCTTCCAACCCTTCTCAGAACCATTTCTACCAAACTCCTTTCTCAATTTCATGTCCTCTTTTCATAGCCCACTCAGTCCAATCAGTGCTACCCGTGGGCACACTGATGTAGAGCCTTCCACTGAATCATAGGCAACCTACAAGGTGCTAATTTCTTAAAAAAAACAGACTTTCCATGTCAGCAGTCTTCTAATGGTAAGACCATGAACCTCTCTTATATATAATGGAAATTTGACTGGATTGATCTTATACAGGTATTGTGTAAACAGTCATAGCCATTTTGAATTCATGAGTATATCAGTCCTGTCATGCCCAGAGAACACATAGAGTTCTATGATATCCCAACAAGGGCCACTTCTCTGGAGATAACTAACTCTTCCTAGTCCAGCAACACTTTCGCAGCCATTCTTCACAACTGCAACTCTTAATGTTTTTCTACTCCCTCTCCCATGAGGTTCTCTGAGTCATGTGAAGAGGGCATGATAAAGTTGTCTTATTTAGGTCTGAGTAATCCTCAGTACAGGTGTATTTTGAGACACCTTCACATTATTCTTTTTTTTTTAATATTTATTTATTATGTATACAATGTTCTGTCTGTGTGTATGCCTGCAGGCCAGAAGAGGGCACCAGACCTCATTACAGATGGTTGTGAGCCACCATGTGGTTTCTGGGAATTGAACCAGGACCTTTTGGAAGAGCAGGCAACGCTCTTAACCACTGAGCCATCTCTCCAGCCCCCTTCACATTATTCTCTAAGCACCTAAGATAATCCTGGAGTAGAAACCGCTGGGAAATATAGGGGTGGGGGAATCTTCAGATCTAAGGCAATCTATTTGCAACTGAGGCATTTACAATCAGAGATTTAAAGTAGTCCTTGCAAAGGCAAGAGGCAGTTCTGTTTAATAAAGCTAACTCCAAGCCACTTGGGAGGTGGAGGCAGGTGAATCTAAATCCAAAGCTAGCCTGGTCTATAGAGCAAGTTTCAAGACAGCCAGGTCTACAAAGAGAAATCTGGCCTCTAAAAACAAAACAGAATGAAGCAAAACCAACTTACCAAACAAACAAATAAACAAACATGCAAAACTAACCAACCAACCAAATCAACCAACCATCCAAACGAACAAATGGACTCCACATTGGACCCTTAGAAACTTTCCCAAAGACTACAGTATTCATCTCAATTTCAGCCTTTACACCTTCATCCTGCCTTGTATTAGAAGGTCTCCATCCTCAGAGAGGGCTTTGTGTGAAAGGGCCTGACAAATGAAGAGGTAGAAGCATCCTTCCCCAATTCTTGGAGCCTTCTTGCTCCTTCCCTCCTGCTCTAGTTTGCTTAGTAAGTTTCTGTGTTAGATTCTCATTGTTGTGACACTCAGTTTGTTTTTACTCAAATATTTAAAGGCTTCAAACCATGGTTGGTCAAATTCTTTGGGTTGGGACAATGGTGAAGTAGATTTGAGCCCATCAGTTTCTTCTGAGACACATCCCTGATGAGTCAAAGACTTTCTCTACATTAGGACTCACCTCATAAAAGTTAAGTGACCTTCCAATGTTCCAAAATAGGGACCACACCTTAAATACATGTGTCTTTTGGGGCTATGTTAGATCCAAATTACAGTAGAATGAGTTTAAAAAATGATTTTATTCTCATAGATAAAGGTACACAAGGGTACACAATTTTGTTTGTGGGAGGGATTGGATTAGATTTTTGTTCTTTTTCTTCCCCCCTCCCAAATGTATGCAATAAATTTAATTAATCTTTAGGGAAGAAATCATGCTTCATATTTATCATCTGTCTCACAGATAAAAGGCCAAGGGTTAAATAAAGTGCATTTTGTTTATAGCAACACCATACACGATTTCTCAATATATTCTTAATCTTATTTTAATCCTATCTTAATAT